AGCACGACCCCACCCAAGCACGACCCCACCCCAGCACGACCACACCCCAGCACGACCACACCCCAGCAGGACCCCACCCCAGCACGACCCCACCCCAGCAAGACCACACCCCAGCACGACCACACCCCAGCACGACCTCACCACAGCACGACCACACCCCAGCACGACCACGCCCCAGCACGACCACGCCCCAGCACGACCACGCCCCAGCACAACCACCCCCCAGCACCACCCCCCCAGCACGACCACACCCCAGCACGACCACCCCCCAGCACGACCACACCCCAGCACGACCACTCCCCAGCACGACCACACCGCCTTGGTTGAGTGGTTGCCTGTCGTCGTGGAATGTTTCGTGGGGTGTCTCGTGGAATGTTTCGCGGGGTGTCTCGTGGAATGTTTCGTGAGGTGTCTCGTGGAATGTTTCGTGAGGTGTCTCGTGGGATGTTTCGTGAAGTGTCTCGTGGGATGTTTCGTGAGGTGTTGCCCAGTTGGGTATCGTGAAAACGTGTCCATGCTCCACATGTCTAGATCCCTTTCCGGGTTCGTGGGTCCATCATGTTTTTCATAATGTGTTGAGGATGTCTCGAGCGAAACGCTGGTTTTGCAGAGTTGGGGGATGTCTCGAGCGAAACGCTTGCTTTTCAGAATTTGTTGAGGATGTCTCGAGCGAAACGCTGGTTTTGCAGAGTTGGGGTATCTAACATGGCGTCGGGCCCAACGCCGAATTATGAGGAAAAGTGATGGCTTCTTGCTCTGAACAGGGGGGTGCGCTTTGGGGGCCTCTCCAGGGAAGACGTTGTGAGGATGTCTCGAGCGGGAGCGCGAATTCAGCGTATCCAAGTCACGCAGAGGGGTATCTAACATGGCTGTCCCGAGCTGGAACCACGTGTTTTTTCATGCTCAGGCCACCCAGGGAGATCTCTAACATGATTGTCCCGAGCTGGAACCACGTGTTTTACGTGTCCAGGCCACCCAGGGGGTATCTCTCATGGTTGTCCCGAGCTGGCACCGTGTTTTTACGTGTCCAGGCCACCAACACGACGCTTGTCCCCAGCACGTTCTGTAGCGCGTCCCCTTGGCACGTCTCGCGGTGCGTCCCCGTGGCACGTCCCCTGGCACGTCGCCTGGCGCGTCCCTTGGAACGTTCCGCGGCGCGTCTTCCTGGCATGATTCCTTGTCAATTAGCTCTGCGGCAGCTACTTCGTGGACTATGTGCTCAGGCAGCTCGAGCTTAAGATCCAGATCAATTCGGTCAGGACTCGGATGGAACGCAGGACTTGATCCACAACGCTGTAGAGCACAATCGCGGCATGGCACATCGCAGTTCAGCACGGCGCAGCACAGCACAGCCCTCGGCACATTACATCAAGATCGGTACACTCACTCAGCATTGCAACTTGGCACGTTCTTTGGCACGTTCCGTGGCGCGTCCTGTGGCGAGTCCCCCTGGCACGTCGCGCGGCGCGTCCCCTGGCACGTCCCGTGGCACGTCCATAATGCATTGGCACGTTCCGTAGCGCGTCCCCTTGGCACGTCCCGCGGTGCGTCCCCATGGCACGTCCCCTGGCACGTCGCCTGGCGCGTCCCTTGGAACTTTCGGCGGCGCGTCTTCCTAGCATGCCCCCCGTGAATTAGCTCTGGGGCAGCTACTATGTGCTCAGGCAGCTCGAGCTTAAGATCCAGATCAGTTCGGTTAGGACTCGGATGCAAAGGAGGACTCGATCCACAACGCTATAGAGCACAATCGTCACGTGGCACATCGCAGTTCAGCACGGCGCAGCACAGCACAGCCCGCGGCACGGTACATCAAGATCGATACACTCACTCAGCATTGCAACTTGGCACGTTCTTTGGCACGTTCCGTGGCGCGTCCTGTGGCGAGTCCCCCTGGCACGTCGCGCGGCGCGTCCCCTGGCACGTCCCGTGGCACGTCCATTGGCACGTTCCGTAGCGCGTCCCCTTGGCACGTCCCGCGGTGCGTCCCCGTGGCACGTCCCCTGACACCTCGCTTGGTGCGTCTCTTGGCACGTCCCGTGGCACGTCCATTGGCACATTCCGTAGCGCGTCCCCTTGGCACGTCCCGCGGTGCGACCCCATGGCACGTCCCCTGGCACGTCGCCTGGCGCGTCCCTTGGGACGTTCTGCGGCGCGTCCTCCTGGCATGTTCCCTTGTCAATCAACTCTGGGGCAGCTACTAGTTATGTGCTTAGGCAGCTCGAGCTTAAGATCCAGATCAGTTCGGTCAGGACTCGGATGCAAAGGAGGACTCGATCCACGAGGCTATAGAGCACACTCGTGGCATGGCACATCGCAATTCAGCACGGCACAGCACAGCACAGATTTCGGCACGGTACATCAAGGTCGATACACTAAGCATTGCATTTGCCCGTCGCCCAATCAGGTGTCTTTGAAACGTTGCCATGTCTTACATTTCTATATTCCTTTCCGGGTTCGTGGGTCGATCATGTTTCCGACATCGACTTTAAACGATAAAAAACAAGGTAAACGCGTTCGCTCGATACATAACGAGGTACCGCGGCCTCCGGAACGGCGCTGGGAACGGAGTTTTGGATTCTTGACGTTGCATAAGTTCGGAAATAGCAAAAATCCCCTGTGTTTTTTGACCCTGACCCCGCCGATCTGCGTGAGGTGTGGTACGGAATACCAGAAATGTGCCAAATCCCTTGTGTTTTTGGACCCTGACCCCGCCGATCTGCGTGAGGGGTGGCGCGGAATTCCAGAAATGTGGCAAGTCCCATGTGTTTTTGGACCCTGACCTCGCCGATCTGCGTGAGGGGTGGCACGGAATTCCAGAAATGTGGCAAATCCCATGTGTTTTCGGATCCTGACCCCGCCGACCTGCGTGAGGGGTGGCACGGAATTCCAGAAATGTGGCAAGTCCCATGTGTTTTCGGACCTTGACTTCGCCCAGGAGGGCCCAGGAGGCTCCAGGAGAGCACAGGAGAGCCCAGGAGGGCCCAGGAGAGCCCAGGAGGGCCCAGGAGGACCCAGGAGGCTCCAAGAGGCACCAGGGGGCCCAAGGAGGGCCCAGGAGAAGCTCCAGGAGGCTCCAGGAGAGCCCAGGAGGGCCCAAGAGGTCCAAGGAAGACCCAGGAGGGCCCAGGAGCCCTTACGAGGGATCGTGGCCCTGGGAGCCCTGACGTAGCGTAATTTACGAGGGATCGTGGCCCTGGGAGCGCGGGTGTAGTGTAATTTCCCGGAAAGGGCTCGAGCCCAGGGTTCTCTTTTAGAGGTTTACCCCCGGATCTGACGGCTGATGGGCCGGCGAAATTATTCTGCGATAAATTACGTGCGGGAGTAGGGCCGGCGGAATGATTTTTGAGGATGTCCCTAGCGAGACGCTTGTTTTTCAGACTTTGTTGAGGATGTCTCGAGCGAAACGTTGGTTTTGCAGAGTTGGGGATGTCTCGAGCGAAACGCTTGTTTTCATAATTTTTGGAGGATGTCTCGAGCGAAACGCTGGGTTTGCAGAGCCGACCGCGACGCGGAAAAGCGCCCCGCGCGCAGGAATTCCGATGATGTTTCGCGCGTGCCGCGTCCCGCGCGCAGGAATTTCGAGGATGTCTCGACTAATTCGTTCGTTTTGCCAGGATTTCCTTGAATTTTGGCAGGATGTCTCGAGCGAAATGCTTGTCTTTCATCATTTGTTGAAGACGTTTCGAGCGATGGGGGATGTCTCGAGCGGGGGCCTCGTCGCGCGTGCCGCGTCCCGCGCGCAGGAATTCTGAGGATGTTGGCAGGATGTCTCGAGCGAAACGCTTGTCCCCAGCACGTTCCGTAGCGCGTCCCCTTGGCACGTCCCGCGGTGCGACCCCATGGCACGTCCCCTGGCACGCCGCCTCGCCGCGTCCCTTGGGACGTTCCGCGGCGCGTCCTCCTGGCATGTTCCCCTGTCAATTAGCTCTGGGGCAGCTACTATGTGTTCAGGCAGCTCGAGCTTAAGATCCAGATCAGTTCGGTCAGGACTCGGATGCAAAGGAGGACTCGATCCACGAGGCTATAGAGCACAATCGCGGCATGGTACATCCCAATTCGGCACGGCGCAGCACAGCACAGATTTCGGCACGGTACATCAAGATCGATACACTCAGCATTGCAACTTGGCACGTTCTGTGGGGCGTCCCTTGGCGAGTCCCCCTGGCACGTCGCGTGGCGCGTCCCCTGGCACATTCCGTGGCACATCCATTGGCACGTTCCGTAGCGCGTCCCCTTGGCACGTCGGGCGGTGCGACCCCATGGCACGTCCCCTGGCACGCCGCCTGGCGCGTCCCTTGGGACGTTTCGCGGCGCGTCCTCCTGGCATGCTCCCTTGTCAATTAGATCTGGGGCAGCTAATATTTGTTCAGGCAGCTCGAGCTTAAGATCTAGATCAGTTCGGTCAGGACTCGGATGCAAAGGAAGACTCGATCCACGACGCTATAGAGCACAACCGCGGCATGGCACATCGCAATTCAGCACGGTGTAGCACAGCACAGCCCTCGGCACGGTACATCAAGATCGATACAATCAGCATTGCACTTGCCCGTCACCCAATCAGGTGTCTTTGAAAACGTTGCCACGCGTTACATTTCTATATTCCTTTCCGGGTTCGTGGGTCGATCATGTTCTTTTTAAACAATCGATATCGACTTGATTTCGAAACTTTTGGGGTCGAAATCGAAAGAGTGGTTCCGCCCGAGACTTGAGCAAAGCAATGCTTGAACAGAACATAGTGCTGGGGCCATGCGACCCGACGGACCCTTTTGACGTCTCCTCTCTTGTCGCGTGCGCAACGCCACGGACTACGTTGCAATGAGGCCCCGTCGCCTGTCGGGAGGCGCTGAATTTTTGACAAACTTTCGTGGCGGGGAAGTAGCAGGAGGAGGAGGAGGAGGAGGAGGAGGAGGAGGAGGAGGAGGAGGGAGGAGGGAGGAGGAGGAGGAGGAGGAGAGGAGGAGGACGAGGAGGAGAGGAGGAGGAGGAGGAGGAGGAGGAGGAGGAGGAGGACCCGAGGCGCGCGCGCCCTGGGAACCGAGGCGCGGGCGCTCTTGCACAGCTGCGGCGGCCCGCACGCAAAGCGCCCTGCCCGGACGGCCCCAGGAGCGGCTCGACGACGCCGACTACTGGGCCACCGCCCGCGCGCTGCTGGGCGGAGGGTTTCTCCGAAGGGCTTAGGCGACCCGTCCTCCTCCCCCTCCTCCTCCTTCCCCTCCTCTCCCCCTCCTCCCCCTTCTCCTCCTCCTCCTCCTCCTTCTTCTCTCCCTCCTCTCCTCCTCCCCCTCCCCTCCTCCTCCTCCTCCTCCTCCTCCTCCTCCTCCTCCTCCTCCTCCTCCTCCTACGGTCAAGGAGGAGGAGGAGGAGGAGGAGGAGATTTTGGCTCAAGCCAGAATGGTTACTCCTTCACTGCCTAAGCGGGGTAGGCTCCCATCCAGTCCTCGTTGCTCTTTCATGTGCGCTGCTCCCCGCTGCGGCCGCCGCTGCCAGGAGGGGCTCCTCGTCCACATCCTCGGCGTGCTGCTGGCACTGGTGTTGCCATCATGTCGGGCAGTGATTCTGACCACGACAAGTCGCGCACCTCGCGCAGTGGGGGTTCGCGGAGAGAGCGGCGGCCTCCTCGGGACTACGACAGTGCCAGACCTCGCCCTGCTGAGCCGCGAGAGCGTCGGCATGAGCGGGACCGACGTCGAGACGGATGGCGCGGAGACCGAGACGAGCGAGCTGTTGCAGACCATCGACCGCATCCCCAGCGACCAAGTGAACCCGCTGGTGGACCGCCTCCTGCAGCAGGCGGTGCGACGGCGCCCTACCCAGCCCTCACCGAGTCGCAGATTGCATCGATCGCCAGAGACTTGGAGGCCTTCCCCACCCAACCAGCTGATGATCCCCTTCATCATGCCGACCCCTGGCGAGCAGGAGCAGCTGGTACCGCCACACCTGGTGCCGCAGGAGTACCCTCCGCCGCTGCAGCAGGCGCTGGTCCAGCTGTGGAGGCCGCCCCAGGAACAGTGGAGGCCATCCACCAGTCCCTTTACAGGCAGCTCACGGAGCACGTGGACTCCGCCATGGCCGAGTTCAAACGCGCCACGGCTATCACGGTGGCGACGGCGATCCATGCGGAGCAGGCTGCCATGGCGAAACGTATCGACGCGAACGAGAGCGAGTTGGCGCAGCTCAAGCAGAGGATCCAGGACTCCGAGGCCGAGCAGAAACGCCACAAGGAAGCCATCGACACCATCCAGAAGGCGTTGGCGATCGCGGAAGCGCAGACGGCGGTCCCCGATGTCATCGCCGAGTCCGACTTCGACAGGCCTCCTGACCCCGCGGTCTTCTCCATTGGTGCTCCAGACATTGTGGCCCCGCAGCTGGTTCAGCAGGCCCTCGTGGGTTGGTTCAGGGATTCTGGAGTCGACATCTCCACGGCCACGCTTCAAGGTGATGTACCTGCCCGACGTTTCATTCTTCGTCTTCTTGGCGGCCCTGCTGTGGTTTCTCCGAGAGCGGTGGCACTGGCTCGTGCCCTCAAGCTCGCGGGTGGCAGCTGGCGCCAGTTCTCGACTATGTCGGTTGCGGGCCAAACGATACCCTTGTATGTCTCGACAGACAGGAGCCCGCGACAGATCAGACGAGAGATCCAGACTAGACGCTTGCACCTCCTCCTCAAGGAATCCAAGGCCGACATCGACTTCCGCCCCTTCAAACAGAAAGGTCGTGTTTCTGCGGTGGGCGTGCCTTTGGTGCGTCTGGACGTGGGCGCTGCGGCCAACATCGATACCAAGATCATCTGGAATTATGCCCAGGCCACGAAGCTTCACATCGACACTGCCGCTATCGAGCACGCCTTCAACGACTTCTTCGCCGAGGACAGAGGAGTGTCGTGGGGGTAGCATCACTGGCTCCTACGCGTCGCCCTCCCAGTTCAAGCTGGTGTCGTGGAACGCTAGGGGCCTCCTCACGATCAATACCAAGAAGCGAAAACAGAAGTTCGAGTTGCTGAAACAATACATGCGCATGAACTACCTCATCTTGCTCCAAGAAGTTCACGGGTCTGGTCCACGCCTTCGCCGAGCAGTTGGAGCCCTACCCTTCAAATATCATGTCCTCTACAGTGGTGGCGGAGTTGCGAGCACTGGTGGAGTGGCCATGCTGATCCCGAAAGCGGACGCCCTCGGCCAACCCATCGATATCGCAGATCTCGCAGCGGAGGCCCCGACGTCGACGGCTTCTGGCTCCTCGGGGTGCTGCTCTTCACCTGTGGCGGGGGGAGGGCGGGGTTTGTGGGAAGCAAAATCTGGCGGGGCATTTCGGGCTAGGACGCTTTCGGTTTCTACATCACGAGCGTCGTCCAGTCTGGATGTGGGCAATGCTACATCTTCTTCCTCCTCGAGTTCCTCTTCTTCACCCACCTCTTCTTCGTCACCCGGGTGTCGGTTTCAAGACCTCCCACGGGATGCTGAAGACCACCGTCCGCTGAGGACGACTGCGACGTGGGTACCGACGCTACCAGCGGACCGAATACACACCTCTGGCAAGAAGCTCACGATTGTCCACACTGTCCTCGCAGTTGGGCGCGTCCAGGTTGCGGAGATTTTTGCTGGCTCTTCTTGTGTTGGTGTCGTTATGAATATCCACAACATTGACCTCGCCACTCGTCATCGCAAGGAGATAGACCTCAAATGGAGACGCTATGCTGCATGGGCCTCTTCGTCGCCGAGATCGCGGATCTTCATTGCCATGGGCGACTTCAATATTCACGATGAACCAGCTGTGTCATTCGTCACGCCTGCTCCAATTCTACTCCCTACTGTTCGAGGAGATGCATTCCAGCAGGCGTTCTGGCGACGCCTCTTTGGTTTGTTGACGGAAGTTACGACTGGTGAGCCAACTCGTTTTGATCCACATACACTTCGTCAAACGCGAATTGATAGAGTCTTCACTTCGCTCCCCCCACATGCTATTCCCAATCTCTCGCTGAAGTTGGCAGTGCTGGTTGACCCGACACTATTGAGTGACCGACGGCTTAGTGACCATGCGATCTTGGGGCTTACCATAGCGACGGCCAGGCCCAAGGTTGATGAAGTTCAACAGATCCCTGACTTCTTGTTCCAGACCCCGCTCTACCAGCAGTTCTATGAGCGCTTGATGTCCTGTTCTCGCACTAAGTGCGCAAGCCCGCCTATGCTGTGGAAAATCACAAAAGACAACATGGTCCAAGCTGCTCGACTTACACGCAATCATCTCCTTGAATTGCCTGGAGGACGTCGTTTTCAGTTCTCTGATGAAGTTAAGCTGCTGGCCCTGCGCTCCATCTCTCGAGCGGTATGGCGGCAGGACTTCGAGCTTGCGGGGGCCCTAATGTCGTTCAATGCGCTTGGTGAGCAGTTCCTGAGCATCGAGGAAGGCAATGTCTCGCTGCGCTCGGAGGTGGAGTTCGCAGAAATGTCACGTCTTGCCCACCACCAACACTTTATCAAAAGAAAGGAGCGTGCGCTGACGTTTGCCCGTCGAGCCGCACTGGCCCAACGAGCGCCTGAAGCTGAACACCAACAGAAGCAAGCACGCATTCTACAGCGTCGTGCTCGAGCTTGGGCCCCGTTTGCACGTATTCTCACATTGGTCGGTATTCGTATCCCTGATTCCGACACCGTTGTCAAATCACCTCAGGACATGCTGGACGAGCTGCAGAAGCACTGGCTCCCGATTTTTGCCGACAAGCCCGTCGACGAGATTGGTATGAAGGAGTTTGTTGCTCGGCACGCGCCTCCTCCTTTTCAACCACCTGCCTTGGTTCTTCCTTCGGTTGCGGCGCTCCGACGTGCCGCTCAGCGTGCTCGTGCATCAGCACCAGGTCCGGACCGACTTCCGTATCGAGCGTGGACGGCGACGCCGGGTGCCTTGGACGCGCTAGATGACATCGCATGGCAGGCGATGGAGACTGGAGTGGCACCTTTCTCTTTCAATGACTCACTGTTCTCGTTCATTCCCAAGGGCACGGAGGAGATGGACAACACTACCTGCACTCGGCTTGCTGCGGCCCTGCGGCCGATCTCCAGGAAGAACACCGATTCCAAGATCTTCGCGGCGGCCATCAACGAGCAGATGAAAACTATCGTGGAGCAACGGGCGCACGTTATACAACAAGGCTTCATCAGAGGCCGCAACTTCTGCAATAACATAATGATCATGGACACGCTGGGGAGGATTGCTGGATGGAGGCCATCTGCTGGGTCAGAACATCCAGTCCAGATCCTGTTCGACATTGCGGCGGCCTTCCCGTCGCTGGGAAGGCAGTGGTTGTTTGCAGCGCTCGCTAACTTTCAGTATGCCGAGGGCTTCATCAATGCCGTACGTGCCCTCTACGATGGTGGCCAGGCCATGATCACGCTGGACGGCGCCTACCGCTTCGTGTGCTACATGCGCTCTGGTGTCGCGCAGGGCTGCCCTCTTTCTGGTACCATATGGGCCATCGCCATGGATGTCATTCTCAGAGCGATTGCCGAGATTCTCCCGACCGAAGAAGAAGGCTCTGCGTCCGCATGCGCTGACGATCTAGGCGTTCACCTGAACCATTTGCGTCTCCTGCCCAAGATCCACCAGGTCTTCGACTGCGCAGAAAAGTACGGCCACCTCGCCATCAATGTGACCAAGTGTGTGATCATCCCCCTTTGGGCTGCTCTTGACGATCAGGTACGGTCTGTGATTCGCTTTTTCTTGGCAGAACAGATTCCAGCTTGGAGTAACTTCTTGATTGCTGATGTTGGTGTCTACCTTGGCGCACATATTGGACCTGGAGCGACCAATGAACTGCAATGGTTGAAGGCGATCCCGAAATGGTGGGACCGTCTCTTTGCCTTGTCTACTTCTGGCGCCCCGACGGATGCACTGGCACGGCTATATCAGACCTCGAGCATCACGGTCCTGAGCTACCTCGCGCAATTCTTCTGGCTTCCTAAAGTGGCTCTGACACGAGAAATACATGCCCTGCATCGTGTTCTGCGTATGCCCCCGAGCACGTTCAGGCTTCAGGATATACTAGCGATGTCGACATGGATGATGTCCCCTTCGCCAACATCCCTCAAACTGTACAATGTTGCCACGATGTGGCGCATGGCCAACTACACGATCGTAGGCTGGACGCACTTTCTTGGCTTGCTCGATGCCATGGCGGTCCAATACTGCCCGTTACCTGCATTTGCGAGGGGACGATGGTCACCC